AGAATCTATTATAGAGATAACACATTTTATCAATAAAACAATTTAATTTTAACATATTAATTATTGAATAGTTACATACGATACCTATACTTATGTAATAATATGAATAATAAAAAACAATTCATTATTTATTTGTGATTGCATTCACAACAAATACATATAATTCATTACCTACTTATATGGTAATCAAACAAACATTAATATTTTGGATTAAATTATTAAAATGTGATATCGAAATATTGAATACCAACAATTTTAATATAATTTACCATTATGAATGTGGACACTATGGCTCTCAAAAAAAAAAAATTGTTTACTAGTGAAGAAAGATTTTGGGAGTTTCTGAGTTTCATATAGTTTCGTATAGGTAGTTATAGTGGCATATCCAATGGGGGGAGGGGGTAATACCCCCCCCCCCAAATAAATGTTAAATAATAACAACATTTTTATTGATAAATTCTTTTCAGATAAAATTAATCTTTTGTGAAAACAAAATCATAAAAAGTACATCAGGGTTATGTTACTATTTTTTTTAGATTCGAAGCAAGGAATGTATTAATTTTCACTATTGCCCGTACATTTACTTTTAGATTCTGAGTGAAACGATGAATGTATTGATTTTACAATGATGTGTGTTTTTTTTATATTTTTGTGTCTGTGTACACGATAAGTAGTCGAAATAATGCTTCGATTTTCCACTTGAGTACCTTGTTCGATTGGAAAGTGAATATCGTTGGTGCATTGGGGAGGTCAACATTTAAAATTCACAGTAATTTTCAAAAGCACCAAGAAAAACAAAAGAAAAATTAAGGAAAAACGAGAATTTTTAAGCAAAATCGATTTTTCACAAAATTGAATTTGGTTTTTGGTGTACCTAACTTTAAAATAAATTACAGTAGATATAGATGAAATTTTCACAGGTTGCTTATATTTGCATTTTCTATACCGATAACATTTTAAAAATAATTTGATTTATTTTGAACTGTTTAGGGACATTTTCATTTTCCATTTTTTTTTAGTTTTTTTCTAAAAATATCAATAAAATGTTATTTGTTGGTTAAAAAAGCTTGAACATTTAATAGAAGGCTCCTAGTATATTCCTTTAAAGGGAAATGAAAAATATTAAAAATCCTTAGTCACAGTTTCTTTTTTATAAGCATTTAAAGTTCAAAAATTGACAAACTATGGAAAAATCACGAAAATTAGCAAATTATTTTGAGTTAAGAATTCATAAGAATTTTTCTTTTTAAATCTAAGATTTTAAAATTTAATACGAGATCCCTTATAAGATTATCTACCTTTATCAAAAAAAAATGTCTATAAGAAAGTCAAATTACATTTTTATGAGCGTCTGTAATTCAAATTTTTACAACATTGGATATTCACTCGATTTCTCATATAGCGATTTCTTTATTTTGTTGTAATTCAAAAATGAATAACTGTAGATACATGAAAATTTCACTGAATGTTTATATTAGCATTTCCCATACACCATACAATTTTGAAAATAATTTGACTCTTTTTGAGCTGTTTACGGACATAGTTAGTTTTCAATATTTTTAGTTTTTTTTTTTTAAAAAATAGCAATAAAATTTTATTTGTTGGCTAAAAAAGCGTGAAAATTTAATGCAAGACTCCTGATATAATGTAACAATAGCAGTTGAAAAATATTAAAAATACATAGGCACAATTTTTTTTTTTTTAAAGGAATTTAAAGATCGAATTTTGACAAAATGTATCAAATTTAAAATTGAATAATTATTTTGTAGTTAAAAATTTATAAAATGTTCAACTTTTATATCTTAGGATTGAAAATTTAAAACAAGATTCCACGTAAGTTGTTAATTCTGTTAACAAAAAATCTAAAAAATACAGAAGGATAGTTTATTTTTATAGTCATTTTAAGTTCAAATTTGGACGAAATTACATAATAAAAAACCTAGAGTAACTATTTTAGTCATATTATTCGTGGGTACTTGAAACTTCTAAAGTACACTATTATATTATGTCTATGATGTCCAGGGTTTGTTGTTGATGTATAACGCGTTATAAGTACCTAATGGATATTGTGATATGATTAATTTAGAATTTATTATAGGTACCTATTATAGGTCAATTTTTTTAACACCATAGATATAAGTATATGTATAATGTTTTATACCTAGACTGACAATACCGTCTCCGCTCAGAATCGTTTTTCTTATACAATGGTATTATATATTGAATTCAAATTTAATATAATCCATTATACAGTGACCCACTTGTAACCTACTGTACAGCAGAGCACCTTTTTTTACATAGTATTTTATTATCGGAATAATATGTCAATATTTTTATTTTTTAACATTCGATAATCTTATACAGTTAAATTTATAAATAACACAGATATTAACGCTCGGACTGGTGAGGAAACAGTTCTTCAGTAGTTCAGTACACACATTTAAATAAATAATTACAATAGAATCCGCTTATTACGATTGTATATAACGATATTCCGGATAAAACGATTCGCAGCTATGAACTTAGGTTGGTTTTCACCCAACATCAAATACATCGGTGTAATTTTGGACAGAAAACTAACATGGAATCCACATATCACCTCCAAACTACAACAAGGCTACCAAAAGCTAAAAGTTCTATACCCATTGACCAACCGGCAAACTGCATTAAGCTAGAGATGTTTTTTTAAGCTTTATGAGCAAATCCTACGACCGTTACTTCTATACGCAGTCAATGTGCGGGGAAATTGTGCAAAAACCCATATACACAAAATACAAGTTTTCCAATCAAAAGTATTGAGAACCATTTCTAATGCTCCATGGTCTATAATAAGTAATGAGGCACTTTACAAAAACGTCCAGCTACCCACAATGACTGAGTACATAAAAAAATTATCATTTAACTTCTTCGACCATATCAATTCTGCTCACAATACGAAATTTTATAAACCAAGTGACCCACCTTCTTACAACCCAGCCAATAGCATCTTTATTAGTAGGGAACGGATTTTATTGTAAATACATATTTTTATTGGAAGGTTGGTTTTCTTTTTCTTTTTAACGATCTAATTCTCTAGGTCAGTTGAAGTTTGAAGATCGTTATAAGTGAATTCTACAGTAACTAGGTATCTAATTAATGACAAACAAAAATACATACAAACAAACATAATTTAATTTAAAAACATTAAACAAGTACCTAATGTTGTTGCACATTGAAATTGTAATGCAAGAAACTGAGAACATTTAATGCAAATTGCAATCAAAAAATAAAAATAAAATCCAAAATATATCAGATCATGCAATATTTAACTTGATATTTGTGTAAATTCGTAAATAAAATATTAAGCAATGACGACAATCTAAATCTGTAATTATCGGCAGAATACAACTGAATAAACTATAATATATGTACTACCGAAACTATTTTGGAATGTATTATAATTTATAACATATTAAAATAGTTTTACACAAAAATACGGTTTTATTTTTAAGATAAATCATTTTTTGTTATTGAAACTATTAACTTATTATTTTCACCATTAGTCACATTTTATTTTGTTATTGTATTATTGTAAGTTATTTTTATTCGATACCTATCCAAAACTAATAAGTAATAAACTAATAACAAATAACAACCAAACTGTATGTACAGATGCTACAGCGCAATTTAAATTAACTCCAACTAACTGAATTTTAATTTTTAGAAATCAAAAACAATTTATTTTGATGTTAAAAATACAAAATAAATGTACTATAGATGATTACAGTTACTATCAACTAGGTATATAGAGTATAAACCATTAAGTATAAATTAATAACCATATTTAGGTGCCTACCAAATGAATATTTTAATTTTTAAAATACAAATTAAATATAAATATAATAGCTCAGGGGGTCCAACCTTTTATGGTTGGCGGGCCAATTTACACTTTCATAAATACATTGAGGGCCGCCAAAAGAAAAATAATCTCTCACCACGAGAATTCGGATTTGCTGTGGCGACTATGCAAACACGATGACGATACCTACATCCGTACGAAGCGAGCTAAATTTAATCATGGTTATGGACGTTGCTCATTGCACGTATAAGTTTTATACAAATTTCTAGTTTTTTTCTGAAAAAGTTTTCTAGAGGTAGAGGGCCAAAAAAAAATACTTTGAGGGCCGTGGGTTGAATCACCCTGTAATAGTTGATTATGGTAAATTATATTTTGAGTGTAGTAATAAAAACACAGTTACAATAAACTATAAAGTATAAAATAATACCCACATTTAGGTACCTAATGAATCTTTCAATTTATATATTTAACTGAAATATTCTTTTTCTGCTAGTAATATTTAAATTTTAAGCTACTAGTACAATAATTAAAATTAGTAAATTATAACTAATTATACTCTATGTTATCCATTTTAAGACAAATAAAATTTAAATAAAACAACAAGTTAATGGTGCTTTTTTGGTATACTGGTAATTACCAATTTATCAGTATTTACTGTAAGAACAATATTACCGATAATTTTGTAATTGCCGTTACAAGTAACTGAAAATATGTACTTTAAAAACAAAATAAATCCAATTTTATGTATTCATTATGAATTTTGTATACAAACGTTTTGTATGGTATAATCAATTATTAACATTGTTACATATAGTTATTTACATTGTTCTACTTTAAAGAAACCCACTCTAACTAAATATGTTTTTTTTATAAACAAATAAGTGAGTTAGGAATAGTAAGTGAATAGTGCATATTAGTTTTAATGTGATGTATAATAATACATTTATATTGTAATTATTATTAGTTATGAATTATGATAAAAATCCCTGCTATTTAATATGAATAAATATTTTAGTATTCAGACACTAAGTAACTAGGCTATGGAAATATGTTAATAATAAGTAGAACATTTTTATGAGAACACTCAATAAACATAATTTTAATGAATAAATCCTAATATTTGAGTTAAAAAAGTCTATGTATAGTTTTTACTTGTACTTACCCTTGCTTATGAGCAATTAAACCATGAATGTCTGCAACTGTTGTAAAGTATGATGCAAATGGTAATACTTGTACAGTTTTAGAATTCAAATCACAACTCCAAGAGGAAAAAATAATTTTCTGATCCACAGATGCAGTTACAACAAATTGATTATACACTTTAATACCTACAACATTTTTAAATAATAAGTAGTAGGTAACTAGTATTTATGTCATAACGAAGATTACATTAATAATTAAAAAAAATAATACCTGTAACTTGAGAACAATGGATAGAAATGTATTCATTACATATTAATGATACAGAATCCTCATAGTGAAAAATTGATAAACTTAAACGCTGGTCATCTCCACCCGTAGTTAGTAAGCCATAATTATTTTCAATTTCCAACCAATCACAACAGTTTATACCAGATTGGTGTAAGCAATGTCTATATTTAGGTGTAAAACTTAGATCTACATCACTATTATCAACATATTTTGAAATGTCCCAAAAATTTACAAATCCTTTTGTATCAGTAGTTAAAACATAATGAAAACTATTTAATTGAACAAGTAAAATCTTTAGTATACAGTTATTGCAGTCCAAATTGTCTTCAATTAAACTCAAAGTTTTATTGTTTGTATCATAATTATATAACCTGTAATTGTATCATTTATTAATATAATGTATATTGTTAATTTATCACAACGCAATGTGTACTTCTTTAGATTGTTATACATATATTTGTATGACCTTGCATGTGCAACATCAAGTTTAACATTGTAATTTGTAATGCAATTACTAAATTTATCTTCCAATAAGTTTATCAAAGTTACTATTCATTAAACATAAATCTAAATAGTGATTTATTAAGTAATTTCAGGGTGTGAAAAATATGTACTTATAGCTTATAATAAAATTATAGATCAAAAATATTTTTATTTTGTGTACTAAAAAACGTATTAAATGTTTTAAATTTTAATTCATTATAAATTAATAACAGTGGTATAGCCAGAAATTTTGTAGGGGGGGGGGCTATCTCACAAAAAAAATACAACTACCTACAATATGTCTTTTAGTTACACTTTTTATAATTTTATTAATCTTGATAAAATTCTAAGATCTAAAGAGTCAATGGGGGGGGGGATATAGCCCCCTTAACCACCATGGCTATACTACTGATTAATAGTACCTAATGAATGTGAAAGTATAAGTGCAAGTTAATAAAACAAATTAACTCAAGTTACTACAATTAAGTCTACATTAATAAAGTTATACTAGTTTTTAACATCTTGGTTAATTTTTAAAACAAATAATTTGTGTTTTGAGATTAGGGATTTGTTGTTTTTCTAATTACAATGTTTTACTTTTTGTTTTAGTAAATCAATTTTTTATTAATATTTCTACCATTAACACAATTATTTGTTTGTATTACCTAAGAACTGCATCAGAACATCCAACAGAAATTAAAATTGATTTTGTCTTAGTGTACTGAACACACACATCCATAAAGCGTGTCTCACCTTCATTTGAAGGTACAACTGTCCTCCAAGGTTTTTTTTCTTGTTTACTTTTCAATAAATGTGATATTGATTCTTCACAATACACATCTGTTTTAATACAAAATCAATATTTATATAAGTACAATTATATAAAAAATAATATAATTAGATTCTAAATACTGACTATTATCTGTTATATTCAAAGTCCAAATTTTCAACTGAGCTCTACCGCCAGCTGTTACAATAATGTATACATTAGGCTTTAAAGTAAGACAAGATACAGAACGAACTGATGATATATGACTTCGTAATGTTAACAAATTATCAACCGCATCATTAAAACGAGTCAATCTAACAGTAGTGTCATCACTGCCGGTTATCATTAACTCATCAGTAACTTGTGCCATGCAATTTACAATCATGGAATGAAAACCTTTCTATAATATTTTAAGATCATCGCCAATAAAATATTAAAATGATTTATTGGTTATAAACATACTAGTAGTTGTATTAGTTGTTTAGTAAATTTACCAATAGCCTATGATGACCATGTAGGGGTATTTCATTTGATTCTAATTTATTACTCGATGAGCTACAAACAAAATATATTGAATCACAATCATTGATAAATGTCAAATCCCATGCTCTATGACCACCTCCACAAGGAACAGTCGCCAAAATTCTTTGTTCTATTGGACTGTACACAATTAAATTGCTCTAAGACATAAAAATATTATAAATAGTAAAAATGTAATACTACTAAAGAATATTAAAAATTGTTATTGGTGTTCATCAAATTAGTTTAAAATTAAAAATCATAACTTACAAATTAAGAGCCCATTTGTGGGTCACAAATAATTTTGATTGGGTCACCAAAAATTTAGTATAAAAAATATTATTGATATAAGTACCTAATATGAGTAAAAAAAAGTAATAGATGAAGATTAATAGTTTCTTTTAGTTATAGTAATTGAAAAAATTAAAGTGGCAAGGATGGGTGGGTAGCCCCTCATTTTCAAAAAGGTTTCATGAAAAATTGGGTAAATACCTTTGGTCGCCAATAAACAAAGGCTGAGAACCACTGCTCTAGCACACCTATTTAAGTCAAAATTAAAAATAATAAAAAATACAAAAGAGCAACTTTATATAGCTATGTGAGACCAGTCCTTTCATTTGTCTGTGCAACTTAGGCAATTACGAAAGTTGACAAAGAAAAGTTCCTAAGAGAGGAAATACTATGGAAAATGCATAGCCCAATTTATAGTCCTGAAGAGCAGAAATGGAAAATAAGATCAAATAATCAATTCAAAGTACTTTATAAAAGGGAAAATATGGTTGAGATTGTTAGGAGCACAAGAATAGAATGGATGGGGCATGTTTGGCGAGCAGATCCAAGGGAAAAACCGCACAGAAGATGGATGGACGGTACACAAGAGACCCATCATGGAACTTACATAGTCACGAGAGTAGACTGGAACACATCAAAGAACAGAGAAAAATGAAAAAACTTGGTTTCAGCTGCTAAAAGCCAAAGCTTAAAAAAAATATTTAATGAGTAATTATGGACAAAAAAAATATGATTCAAGATTGTGATATTACAGTTTAAATAAAGTTTAAAATTCTTACTTCTTTAAAACCGCAAATCAATAGTCCATGAACTTTTGAGTTAGTTATGACAAATGGCCATTTTGTGGGTAATATATCACAACGTATTTCAAACACTGATTCTGATAGAATACCGACATTCCAATATCTATGATGACCATCTCGTCCTACTGAACTAACGACCGTAAAATTAGAATACTTCTCATGTGTCCACATTGCAGTAACACCAGCAAAACTGTGAATTTTACTGAATACTTGTAATGGTTCCTAAAATTATATTCATAAGTTTTTAAAATTTGTAACAATTAATATTAAAAACAAATAAACAATTTTTGTAAAATGTTAAAATAAATTATAATTATAAAGGGAATGGTGATTTTCTGTCTTTGTTTAAAAGATGTGCAACACAGGAATTTAGACATGTTCTATTTCCAATGTACCAATTGATCAAGAGAAGTGACATAAAACCTCTGAAAATAGATTTTAATTTTTACTTTTTCAAATATTGAACTGCCAATTTTTTAATTTCTATTATTTTAGAACTTAAAACGATTAAATAAATAATGAGGGGAAATTAATCTCCAAGTAAACTTAACAGCTAATTCAAAAATGTTTAGAATTCTTATCGGATCATCAAATCAATTGGTATGTTGAAAAATAAACATGTCTAGATCGAAATATTGTGCGTGTCAGACAAAAACAAAAAATCACATATTTCAATCCCCTCAACTACTAGCAAAGCATAATTTAATTCAACATTTTTCACAAACTGAACTTAAGTATATAAAACAAAATAAAATATACTCGATGATTTAATTTGAATAAGTAAATAGATCCTTCATTACAACCAGCAAAGATTAGGTCTTCAATTAATACGGCAGCAGTTATCCAAGAACTAGTTTTTGAACAAATGCAAAATGTATCCAAATGATTTAATCTCAGGTCTTAAATAGTTTAATAAATAAAGATAAAAATAAATTATACATAGGTACTCTTAATAATACAATGAAACCTCGATAACTCGAATGTCTATAAGTCAAATTTTTGATAACTCGAAGGAATATCTTCACCACCGCATTTCAATAAGTACACACAATTTTTTCTATAACTCAAATTTTCAATAATTCAAATTTGTTTTCGCCCCCGACTGATTCGAGTAATTGAGGTTTCACTGTAATTTATAATAGTAAAAAATAATAAGTAGAAGTAAACAATTTTACCTTCAAATACTTCATAACAAAAAATTGTATTTCCTTTACAACATACGATTATTCGATTATTATTCAACCAAATAGTAGAAACAATTTTTTCTGCAGAAATTTTATCAAAAAATACTTGAATACTGGTGCCTAAAAAATATATAAATTACAAATTTAGAAACACTAAAATAAACATTTTTAATTAATATTAGGTATTTACTTTTTAGAATAACTATATGTCCACTGCTAGTCGTAAAAGCTACTTTTGTTTCACAATGGGATTTCACCATTGTCAGAGTGCAACACAAGACATCATTTTGATAGATATTGTGACTGGTATTGTTTTTGTACAAGACAACATGGCCATCAGAATAAAGTACGTATGTACCAGTGTTACTCAACACAACTAAATGTTTTGGATAGCGGTTATCTTTTTTATAGTCTGCTAAGATTTCGCTCTTAGGAACAGTGTCTAGTGACCATAATCCAACACTCCCAGTCGTACATCCACTAGCTGCAAGATTTTTTATTTCCATACAGTCTAAACTACGAACTTGAGAACCTCTACTTTCTTCCCATTGGTAAGTTCTTGAAGAAGTTTTCAAACATATTTGACCGTCCTGTACATAGTTTTTGTACATATTTTATATTTACAAAAAGATATTTAGGTAACAAAAATGTAAAAAGTTCAAATTGTTACTTCTCCAGCGCTCAATATGTTGCCAGATTGCATTAAAATACTTTTCCACACTCTAGCTTTGTGTGCATAAAATGAATAAGATGGTGTAATCTTTGCAAACTTCCAGTGATCATAAGTATTTTGGTGCTCAGCAAATGGCACAACATTCCAGATGACTATACTTCGATCGTCAGATGTAGAACTTATAATAGAATTGGATTTGTTCACCGTGATTGAAAATATAACACCCTATTTTAAAAATACAAGGATACAAATAGCATTAGCAGTTAATTGGATTTATTCTAATTATAAACAAATAATTTCTTACTTCATGCATTTGTAATCTATGTAAAATATTTAAGCCATTTGATCTCCTAAAAGGACTCCAAATCACAATCTCCCTGAAAACTGTTCCTGAAAATACAATAATAGTTTCTTCGTCTTCGCCAATTGATGTTGCTGAGTATCTGATCATTGTAATAAATAGGATTACTAAATAATGATTATTAAAGAAGTTTAAAATGCATATATATATATAAGTAGTATACTATGATCTAGAAATGATTTGGAATGCAGGGGGGAAAATATCATCAGTTGAAGACAGAACCAAAATATATTATTATTATTAAACATTATAAACTGTTTGAAAGACTTATTCAATATTAGCTCAGAACAAAATAATTGTTGAACGTAGAACATACTTACATAGTTTTAAACAGATTAAATGTTTTCATTGATAAATTATACTCTTAAATCATAACAAACACATTTTTGTAATGATATGTTATAAATTTTTTTATAAAAAGGATACAATATACATCTTTCATCACAACTTGAGGAATTAATTTCTTTTTTAAGATCCAAGCTCCAAACTGTTGCCACATTATGTGCAGATACTGTTAATAAACAATTTGAATTCATCCATAGAATGTTACAAACCCAATCAGTGGCCATTAGGATACAATCAAATTCAATACTAGAAATTAAAATAATAATTTAAAACTAATTCCATTAAAGCGATAAAATGCAAAATGCGAATTACAGAAAACCCATTTGCGACGTCAATTTATAAATGGCCACATATCTCTCTCCGTGTACAGCAACCAACTTTTGTTTGTCATTAAACTGAATGCCGTGTATCGAAGCTTTATCAAAGATTTTTCTACGCAGACAAAGGTCTCTAGACTCCGTGTCATAGATCAGCAAAATATTGCCAATACCTAAACGGAATACAATATGTTATTAAGTGAGACTGCATATTATAAATCAAATAAGCATAAATTACATACCGGCTAATAGAAATCGATCGATAAACCTAACACATGATACAGTATTGATCAAAGATACGGATTTAAATAATTTTGACTTCTCGACATCTTTGCAGGAAAACATGATTTCGCCACAATCCACAAATCAGTAATAACTTAACTTTACGATTATCTATACGACTATACAAAATCTGAGTTGAGCTGACGAATGTTGAGAATATTTGAAATGTAAAACGTTAAAAATAACAGAAAAATCAATAATAATTTATATTGCTACTTGTTACGTCTTGTTAGCACTTAATAATTATTGCAATTTGCACTTTAGATTTTTGAATAATTCTTATCACTCCTAAACACGTGCGGGTGTCGTACTGGCGTGCGGTATCACCACGGACCACAGATATATATAATAACTATATAGCTGAATTACCCGTCGTCGCCGGGTTCAAGTATATAAATGTATGTACCTGGCAAGATTAAATTTGGTTAAATCTATTGAAATTTAAACTAACTAAGATTTTTAAAATAATATTTTATACATATTAATTTAGTTTTTAAGATAATAATATTATTATCATAATTTATTCTATAAGTTATAGCTTTTGGTGGCCGAAGCTTTGTTCACGATAAATTTTAACGCTGTAGGTTCAAAATAAATGTTTTACTATATTAGTTTTTCAATATTTTGTTATCTACAAAACTTCTTTGTAGACGATTTTCTTCACTGATCTATTAGTAGGTGACAAAATCACCAAGCTACTGAGTGAGCTTGCGCTTGAGCAAGCTACATAGAACTGCCCATGTGAAAAACAGTTTTCTCGCAAACTGCGCCTTAGGCAATGCAACGCTGCAGTTCTTGATGGAAATACCGTATATGCTACGTGAAAACGGTAAAAACCGCTTTGTTTTTTAGAACACCTTCATTAATTCGTATCAGTTATCCGCATATAGAAATTTTAAATATAAACGTTATCAGTATATGTGATACATGGGCCTCATCAGTGATTTTAACTTTTAAGCGCATATCCATCAGACAATCGGGTTTTAGTTATGATTGAAATTACGATGTTCCGATGCATCAGCGCATCGAAATAAGAACTCTTAAGCTTGAAAATACGATGCATTTTAGAATAGGTATGTTTTATCATGTCGATGGCAATACGTATCCACAGTTGTAATAATATTATCTATGGTTCCAGCACAGAATAAAATAGATGTAATATGGGATCTATCATGGTTTAGAATTTAGATATACATACCTATTATCTAAGCCATGGGATCTACTGGGTCTAGTAGCCAGTACGTATAAAACAAAATTCGAAATTCGTACGAGTGGTTTCTCAGCTATTAAAATGTTTTTACTAAGGATAAAACTGATAAAAGTTTCATTAAAATTATTTTTAAAAAGAGCGGATAAGTGGATGTCGTTCTGCTGTACAGTAGCCAGTAGGTCAATGTATAATGGATTGTATTAAACTTGAATTCAATGATATAATATCATTGTATAAAGTTGAATTAATATTATAATATTATTATTTTTTATTCGTTTCTATGCGATAAACAAAGAGTTAGAAATTAAAATTCCATTTTTAGCGGTTTTTCGTAATTTGCAAGTGGTTTTTCCTGTGGCATTAAATAAGTATTGAGAAAATCAAAAAATTACCTCTCTAAAGTACCATCTTGATCCAATTTGTTAAAAGATTATTTTTTATTTATTAATATAATAATATAGGTACCTATATTGTATAGAAACTGTAGCAGTATTTGTATGCTACATTTAATTATTAATTACCAAAATAAGAAAGTGGCTATTTGATTACCTCAACCAATTAACTCACCTGACAACTGTAATATTATATTGATATGTATATTGTATGCATTTATTAGTTCATAACAGGGACTGGAACCGTAACGAAATTGACCGGTTTTGGACCGAAAAATTTTGAAAATCTCAGGACCGAAACCGGACAAAGTTTAGAACCGAAGGAAGTACTGCCTCATAATTTCACTATTCAATCATATACATACTTAATATCATAATATGCCTTGTTTACATAACTATATAACTATACGTATGTACTATTCAATACACAATGCAAACTATATAAAAACTATACAAAAAACATATTGTAAATACATTATACCTATGATATATTATGAGCTAATAAATGCATACATATCAATATAATAGTACAGTTGTCAGATGAGTTAATTGGTTGAGGTTATCAAATAGCCACTTTCTTATTTTGGTAATTATTAATTTAATAAAGCATACCTACTATATTAATAAATAAAAAGATCTTTATATATTTAAGTAGGTACCTAGTTCATAGGTAGTAAAATTATATAATATTTTCTATACTATTTGATATTACTTACATAAATAGTTGTACCAACCATGTATATATTTTATTTAATTATGAGAATCAAATCAAATTAATAAATAGATAATTTTATTGATAAACAGCAAATCTGATTGACCAGTAATACTTTCCTATTGAACGTAGGTAAGTATAAATGTATACACTATACAATGCATTTAGTTTGTATTTTTTGGCACTTATCTTAGTTGTAACGAGGCAGAATTATTAGGAATAATTCTTCCTAACCAAATCGCCTGCGCCATCTACCGGACGCGACAAGCGTAAAGTGAATGGGTACCGCGCAGACCAAGTTATAACCTTCCAACGTTTTACAATACTTCGGAATTCGGATACGGATCGCGTAAAGTGTTGCGACACTTAATATCGTACGGTACGACACTGTTCAATACAATTTTCCAACCAGCACAACAACATTTTCATTGAACAAACCCGAAAAAGGACGCCGAACAATGAAACGCACGGACGTCGCACAGAGCGCGCGGCGACGCACGCGCTCTGAGACCAGACAACTTGATACAACTTTCTCACACGGAAAAGCACAAGTTTGTATCATAAATACAAGAAACTACTAAAGCATTAAATACTACGTCGATTCAACCCAGCCGCCCACCAAAGAAGCAACAAACATCGCATAGAAAAACAGTGAAATGTAGTCGGCGTAACCCGGCACATCGACCTACGATAACTGGTGTTGAACCACAGATATAAAGGCCGGATTTCAACCAGCCATCAACTTGTCTCGCCCACAGTTCCATTCATTACGTTCATTTCTCTCTTCATTTGTGGGTATTGACCGAGACGAATACTGCAATTGACCTGTCCTGACATTGTGAGTAGTGGTACGCCCTGGCAGCGTACTGTTCAAGCTACTCACACACACAGCGCCGGAGGGGGGAAACCACAACACCCCCTGTGCGTAGTCGGCAGATTGGTACCCTGATACGACCTATTATAGTGGCTTTCCAGCTACCAATTTCAAACAAGCGGTTTGTTGTCCGCAACCGTCACCCGCACGTGCCACCCGACGTCACCGTTTCGCCTTTTTATTGGCATATTCTCGACATCACACGGATCGCTGACACGGGAAAACGGAGAAGTCTAGGAAGAAGCACGGTGCATCGAGGACGATTCAACGACCGATAGCCGCATTCCGTCGATAAACACCACCAGCAGATTCGGCTGTTTTGGTCTATAATATATTACGGTTCAATCCACGAACCCTACGGCACCCACGTGAGTTGTACCACTATATTATCAATAAATATACACATATCAAATATTTGTAGCTCAACGAGCAATTGTACCAAAAGAAAATAGTGTGTGGACCATTTTATAACTCCATATTTAAAATATCTGTAAGCTCCAAGAGCACTTGTAAAATAAAAGAAAAAACTGTAAAACATAAAATAAACTGTTTTTATTATTTCACGTAAGAATAAAGGACATTATACAATTATACAAAACAACTCGTGTTTTGCATTTTTACAACTGGCGCCCAACTGCAGGACTCGACAGAGAAAAACCCTACATCGTTTAAATAAAGAAGAAAATCTACATCGTTAAAATCTACATCATTCAAAATGCCGCCGAAAAAAGAAACGGTCAGCAAAGACGAGTTCAATGCACTTAAAAGGGAAATTGAACAACACAGCCAACTTTTAGTAAATAAATTACGACAACAAATTGCCGACAATGAAGAAAAATGCTTGAGAAAAATTGCCGACAACGAAGAAAAATATAGGAAAAAAATCGAAGAACTTGAAGACGAAATAAATGAAATCAAATTCAACTACAGTAATTTATATAAAAGACAACAATATGTAAATACTCCAAGGGCAGAACCAGGACATATCAGCAAGATAACCCGTCCGTCATTTTATGGGAGCAACCGTATCACATCAATGCCTGAACGAACGATACTAGCAGCAATGAAAATACTAGGGGAGGAAGGACAAAACCAACCTCGTAAGGACGATACTCGGAACCAACAACAAAACAACAACACCGAAGGGCAACCAACACGAAACGATTGGAACAATAAGCCCTACACTCGGAACAACAATTATCAACAGAACAATCGACAAAACAATCAGAATGCACCTAGAGATAAAAATCAACAAATCAACCAAGTTGCCACAAGCAATGAAAATGAGGTGCCGAAGCAAAACATAAACCAGATGGAAAGCAATGGTGAGTCATTCAGCCCTTACATACGGTGTTTCATTGAAGGAGAAGAAATAGAAGTACTGGTAGACACAGGAGCGACAATAAGTGTTCTAACCAAAGAGGTGGTTGACACCATTATCAAGAAAAATCCAAAAATACCACAGTTACCTGTCACTGGAGTAAAGATCAGTAATGCAGTCGGTGAACAAATATGCAAAACATCGAAACAAGTATTTTGTCTATGTCAACTCGGAGAAGCCACCATAGTGACCAACTTCATACAAGTCGAGGGACTGAACGAAAGAGGGATTATCGGGTCGGACATATTAAACAAGTATAACACACAAATCGATTTTGAAAATTACACTATTAGAATGAAAATATCAGGACGAATCTACTTGATCCCGTTTTCCAAAAGGCTACCAAAAATCATCGCACCCCAAGGTAGTCTGAAAGACATTACGTTCAACGAGTGCAGTGTTGAAGCACTTGAACCGATGAGCAACCGGACCAAGAAAAAGCAGCTCTGGAAGTCCAAGATTGGAACAAGGAAGATATACATGAGTAATATCTAAATCACCAGATCATAAGGGATCTTAATCATAATACAGTGGAGAAGCCATCCAAATTGTCTTCAAGAGTTAACATTGATTTTTTTTTTTATTTAGTCTTTTCTTTTGCATTTATATATAAAAAAAAATAATAATAAATAAATGTAAAAGGGGACAATGTAACGAGGCAGAATTATTAGGAATAATTCTTCTTAACCAAACCGCCTGTGCCATCTATCGGACGCGACAAGTCTAAAGTGAATAGGTACCGCGCCGACCAAGTTATAACCTTCCAACGTTTTACTTGTCAATACTTCGGATACTTTTCGGCTTTCGCAATTTTCGTCGCAGTTCTCCCCAATCACCGTTGCCGCCGCTGTAGGATGGTGCTGTCATCACAAGCCGCCACAACCAGTCGTTGCCGGCCGTCACCATAATTGTACTCGCTATTTTTATTGGTATATTCTCGCTATCACTCACGCTGTCATGGGAAAACGGATCACCCTAGGAAGAAGCACGGTGCATCCATAGAAAATATGCATCGAGGACGATTCAACGCCCGATAGCCACATCCCGTTGCTATACTACCACCAGCAGAGTCGGCTGTTTTGGTCTATAGTATTTTACGGTTCAATCCACAAACTCTACGGCACCCACGTGAGTTGTACCACTAGTATTATTGTGGTATTATCAATAAATATACCCATATCAAATATTTGTAGCTCAACGAGCAATTGTACCAAAAGAAAATAGTGTATGGACCATTTATAAACTCCATATTTGGCCCCCCAAAAGCTAATTAATTTTTTAAAAATAATATATCGAATATATTATTTTCATTTAGTTTACATTGTTTTTAATTTATTAAATTAATTCAATAAAATTAATTTAGTATTTTTATTTTTTTTTTTTTGGTGTTATTCGTAACAGCTTATAATTATTATTAATTATAATAGCTCTATTCCTCTAAAAATGTTGACCACTGTGAATCATTGTTGAACAATGAAATCAACAACAAAAACGTATATAATATTTAATAATAATTATATCAATGATTGAAACAATGCTGTACTAATCGACTATAGGAATAATTATAAATAGCCTAATCATCATCATCACAGGCATCTATAAAGTAATGCCTAAAGATTTGTCAACAATCCGTGACTATAGTAAAACAAATATTTTTTTTGAATTAAGTTATTGTCAAAATATAATTTGTATTAAAATCAAACCCGTAAGAAAATTAAAAAAAAAGAAAACATATCAATGACTTTTGGTACACATTAAACATGTAAGGCTGTAAAATTCATCGATTTTGAAAATAGGTAAAAGTAATAAATATTATAATTAAGGTAATAATATTTTTAACAATATAATATAGTATCATAATTTATTATATTATATATATCATATTTGTATAATATAATATGTGCAACTGAAGAACTAACAAATAAAATAATATCACAATCAAACAAAAATTAGGCATTTTTGTCAGTATTTAAAAGATTATTAATATTAAATCTTTAGGAAGATATTTCCGTGATCACCTTTGGTAAGATCTGCTTCAATTTTTACTTTTGTATTCTTTTTAAGCAATCCTTTTTCATGTGCTTTAGCTAGTTGAGATACTACAGACCTTTCAACTTCGTGTTTAATTGACCTAGCACCATAGTTTACATCATATGCACCAATTATTACATGTTCAACAGCACTATCCCACTCGATTTGTATGCTATGTTTCTTCAAAGCCTGAAAAATATAAAAGTTAAATTAAATTTGAGCTAGACATGAAATACAGTTCATAGTATACACTATACAGGACCATACTACATTTGCTGAACATTTAAAAATTTCTCCATTTTATGAGTTAAGTACCCATACATTAATGAGTAAAATAAAATGACACGATTACTACCTTCGTTATAAATATTTCATATTTGTTATAACCAAAAAAATATTTTTCTCTACCAAATTATTATTTAATATTTTCTATAATTTACTAAAAACTAATTTTAACAATTGTATGGAATAGTTCATAGTTTAGATTAAAGAACAATCCTTGCATAAAAACGGGGATGGTTCAAACTGCTTATTACTAAATACTGAATACTACTATATTAATTATTTTAATTCCATTAATTATCAGAAATATTAACAAGTTTTCAACATACCAACTCTTGCCAATATTGCAATTCTCTTTGAACAATAAATTTCAATTCCATTTCTGAAAATGGTAGGAAGTACACTACTTCATTAATACGACCCAAAAATTCATCTCGTTTAAAGTGTTTTTTTAAAATAGGTTTTACAATTTGATCTTTGAATTTTTTGGAGATAAATGTTCCAACCTCTTCTTTTTTTTCAATTTTTTTATCCGATAACCCTAAATTGAATGATAATTATAAATATATAGAACAATAAAAAAATGTATTAGGAAAGAAAAAAACAGTTCTCACGACTATCTTCAATTAGTTTATTTTGATGTTGCTCATTTCTTAGTTCTAAAGCATGCTCTGCAATTTCTTCACTAGCTAAATTTGATGTCATAACAAATATGGCATTTTTACACACAATCGTCTTTCCTTTACCATCAGTTATACGGCCCTACAAAAAAAAAAAAAAAAAACATTAACATAATATACATCATAATCATATTATTTATTTAACTATCCATAAATTAGGGATATATTATTGCTTTTTAATTCACTGTAAAATAGAACACTTTAAGTTATAAAGAAATACTATTTTGGATATAAACATTAATATGACTTGCTTATAGTCTTATTACAAAAGTATTGTAGGAAATAAGAAGTAGACAGACGAGTAGAAAAACACAAAAGTAACAACAAAATAGTAGATAACTTAAGACTTTGTGCGAGTGAAAACATTGCAAACATAAAGTATTAAAAGTACTAAAATTGGAACAAAATAGAAAGATCTGAATAGAGATAAACACCACACAAAGCGAAATAAAATAGACAACAGAATGTTAAAATAACCTACCAATTTAAAACCAATTCAAAATTGTATATTTAGGTTGAATAGTTATCATGCTGTGACACAAACGACCTGCCAATATTTATCTTACCTCATCAAACAGTTGTAATAAAATTGTCAATATGTCTGTATGAGCTTTTTCAACTTCATCAAACAATACTACAGCATTTGGATTTTTAGCTAACTGTTTTGTAAGGTAACCACCATCATCATATCCAACATACCCTGGTGGAGAGCCAATCATTTTGGCAACCTATTATTTAAAAATCATATTAATATGTATATGTTGTAAGCCTTTTTTTTACAAACCTCATGTTTTTCTTGATACTCAGACATATCAAGTCTAATGAAACCATCTTTGTTGTTTTTATGTAGGTAGCTAGCAATCTGTTTGGCCAATTCTGTTTTGCCAATGCCAGATGAACCGAGAAACAAAAAAACTAATGGATGTTCATCATCTGTCCAACCATTTTCTTTACGTCTAATAGCTAATAAGAAAATTAAGTATAATAATAAGCAATAGGTAATAAAAACAAATGTATTATTCATACAACCTGATGAGACTTCATTAATAGCATTTTCTTGGCCAATAATTTTTTGTTTCAATCTTAATTCTAAAGGAAAATTTTTTCGTATTTCTGCTTCCTTTTTATTTTTGATAAGTTCAAACTGAAAAATATTATTTTAAATTATTATTAAAATTAAAATATGATATAATTATGATATATCCAAAAACCATTTTTAAAGAAATGAGTATCATTTGGTTATTTTATAATCAATTATTATTAAAATAAAACTGCTACCATTTAATACATTGTAAAAAGAAAATAATAGGACAGTGGAGTATAAGAAAAAATCTTAAACATACAAGTTTAATATATTACACATACATTAACCTATATTAATATGGCAAATAATTTATAATAATTGTTCAACAATAATATTTATTGTTTTATCATGACCACAAAATATTTTTCCAATATCTGTTATGTCAGTAATATTTTCAATTTTGGTAAAAAATATTGAAATTATTAATTTAATTTGAATTAATAAAAACAGCTACTACATAATGAAAATAAAAAATAAAAAATGAACTAATATTGTGTTAAGACTAGTAAATACTTATTAATCTATTAGGGAACATAGGTTACTGGTGATTTAAAAATGTAATTAAATTACTACATAGTTTGGTAACGTATAATACAAATAATTGGTTACAATATATTAATAATAAGTGTGTGTATAAGAAGTCAACAAATACTAAAAAGCACAGAATATTTTGGTTTTCGGATATCTTTACTGAACAATACACTAAAATTTACATCGTTTTCATAATCAGAAAGTAGTTCATAAATTGTTATGTCCGTAACCAAATCTATTGGTTTATGGCCAGAAACTGATTTTAAATTGGGATCAGCTCCATGATCCATTAGCACTTTTAATGATTCAATATTGTTTAATAATGCTGCATAATGTAAAGCAGTAAATCCTTGAAACGTTGCATTAACATTAAACTTTTGCATAAAATGATTCTCTCTTATTGATAGAACTGAAACAAAAGATATTATATCTAATATATTATATTGTTTTATTCTTAAGAAAACAAATATATATTATTATGTATTTACCATCTGAAGGGTTAATGTTTCTTTTTCGAGCAACATTTATACAATTTGAAAAACCATCACTTAAATTTGGATCTGCTCCAGATTTTAATAAAACTGCCAAGTGCTCATATTTGTTATTCGATGCAGCCACGTGTAATGGAGCCCATCCAAATAAATGAAGTTTATTAGCTGCCTTAGAATTATCTTTTAAAAATCTGAAAATAAAATTTTTCAGATCATTGAGTTAAAACGTCAGCATTTCTAATAATAATAAATAAAAAGATAGTGTACCTAGTTAATTCTTCTGCTGATCCTTGGTTGATCAGGTCAAATATATCTACAAAAAATAAAACCCATCAGCCACGTTGGTTCTCAAAACATAGGTTTATTTAACGCGTTCAACGCCGCCCGTCTTTTCAGAAATGACGGAAATAAAAAAAAATAAAACCACTCATACCTTTAAATTTAGAGTATATTGTCAATGGCTTATCTAAGTTTACGATTTAATTAAACCGTATATAAAAGTATACGTTTTTGATGCGCTAATGCATCATCGGCCTGTTGGAATAAATTCTATTAACGTGTATAAGCGGCAGCGGCGTTGAAAGTGTTACAAACTGTTTCTGAAGCACTGGTTTAGCATTGAAAATTATTATAATACCTACTTATAATTATTTTATGGCAATATAAAAATTAATTTTTAACATTTTGTTGACAAAATGTATTAAGCAGATGTCAATTTGGGGTAAAATTAATAAATTAATATGGTTCAAAATTTCAAGTCAAAACAAAAGAAATTTTTAACTCACTTTCACTATCGTACCCAGCATATAAAAGTGAAATCGCTAACAACCATTTCCACGAAGGAAATATAGAAGTAGTAGTATTGTTGTTGTGAAGCAAACAGTCGCCAATTACATGTATGTTTGAACAGCAGACATTTGGATAATTTTCATGTTTTACGCTTTGTATACTTAATTGTCGACATATTTTCCGCTGAACAAGGTATTTAACCCGTAAATATTTCAAGTTTATATTTCTGTTGAAGACGTTTCGGATACTCATGTTACTTTACTTCAATTAAAGTGTCAGCCACCGGGTATGATTATAATAATATGTGCAGCGGTGTCATTATCATATAATATCATGAACAAAATATCATTCTATACAGACTACAGACGGCACAACAACAAGAATTGAACAGTAAGAATAAGAAATTAAAAATTGTAGATCCGTTGTAAATTGAACTGTAAAGACTCACAAACGTCCACAACACATATGATTTAAAGCTTTAGGCACAGAATAAAATAAATAAGGTAGGTAGGTACTAGGTATGCAAAATTTTAGTTGCAATGTAATTTCATCTACTCTGTGGAATGTCGTGGAGTATTATATATTTATATAGTACATTATCCAGTTAGTACAGAAACACAGAACACGATTTAAGATATTTAATTATATAACAATTTATAATATTATCCTGTAATTCATCCACAGAACGTCAAATAGTCAGATTACTCAAATTGTCAGCCGTCAGATATTATTATATTAATCATGAACCATGAACTAAGATTTTTATATCAGAAAATGATATTATCTCAACATAATCTCATGGTCACGGAAAAACGGATTGATAAGAACTTAACCTCAACATAACAACTGTTCTAATTATTAACTGTGGTGACGTATCACCTAGATCCCCGTCATATTAGATCCCCATGGTCATCTAGCTCCCCTGTGGTCAACTAGATCACCTGTGGTCAACTAGATCTTCGTGAGTCAATTAGTTCCCCGGTCAACTAAATCCCCTTTGGCCATCTAGATCTATATAACGGTCTTTAAGATCACCAAATTTATACTTTCCCCTAAAGATCTAGTTGATCTCAAAATTAGTGATCTAATTGACCAACATAGGAACAGTTAATTTTATAAATAGCATAATTAAAATGAATTACATTATATATTATAATTTATTTATATTTTACTACATTATACTATATTATCCAATATCCATTCATTATACTTAAACTAAAATTAATACCTAATAATAATTTATATACAAATATGTAAAATAGCATTTTTTTTTGATGAAATCAAAAATATCCTTTAATCACATACCATTATAATAATATCTATTCATACGAGTTACATAACAGCTAGAATAGGCGCTCAAACAATTGAAAAATTTTAAATTACAACGGTTTACATAGGTATTATATTACAAATATAAGAAGTTTGAATTTATATTTGACCATCTTATTATTAATTCAATTCAATTAAGTAGGTACGAATTATGTACTTGTATTTTGTACAATGTACAGTATACCTACACTATATTATGGTAATAAAAGTGAATAACATTCTATGGTAGTGAACATAACAAATGAAGACAAGACAAGACATCTCCAATTAATACAATTTGTCGATGATTAGTAGTGCCAAATTGTCTGTTGAAGTTGTATATGACCTCAAAACCAAAAAATAAAACGTAAGAGTTATGTCTAATTATTCATAAAATATATACATACAATAATAATAATAATACAATAATACATAGTTTAGTAAATAAAAATAATTAAAGACTTATATTATACTAAGAAATTGTAATAGGTAATATTAATAATTATTGTTCAATAACCTATTGGGTTTTTTTTTACCTCAATAACAGGTACCTACATAATTTGTTTATTGTTTAAAATTTGAATTTTTGAAATTATAGACTAATGCAATAATAATATAATATTATATTATAATACATTGATAAAATGTTTCAATGATCTATACAAATTATTTTACAGATAAGTAGCTGAAAACATACAGGACATGAGTGAAACCAGCAGTGATGTGGCTAGCTATTTTAACACAAGGAGCAAATGTCTACCCACCTACATGTTTGATATTTAGTTGTTATTCAAAAATTAATAACAAATAAAATTATAAAGCCAGGCAGACAATTGAAATTTTCAAAAATTGTTAATATTAGAATTGTTCTTATAATTATAATAAATTATATCAAAACTTTACAATTATCAATAATGATATATTATATAATAGGTGTACTATAAAAAATGTGGGCAAGTGGGTGTCGCTCCTCTGTACAGTAGGTTACAAGTGGGTCACTGTCATGGATGGTGATCAATTTGAATTCAAATATATAAAACCATTAAATACGAAAAACGATTCTGAGTGAAGACCTGATCTGTCAGCCTATGATATTATTAAGTAGGTAGGTGTATTTGATAATTTTATTGTGGTTAAAGTATTTAATTTATTTTACCATTGTCCATTATAGGGATTGGTAGGTACCTACAGGCTACAACAGCAGGTTAAATTCATTTTTGGCAAAAATAATACATTTGAAAATGTCATTGTGTGTTGAAAATATAATAATATCAAAGGTACTCTAAAAAGCGTTGAAGCATACAGACCAAGTACAGGAAATATGACTAGTATTGCAGACATGCAATCACCTCAAGAAAGGTCAGGTAAATTACTTGAAGAATAGTTAAAAATTATTTTATTTACATTTTTAAATGCACTGAAGTAAAATTGAAGTTTTAATATAGGAGTAGTTGCATTAGAGGGTTTGTTGTATGTTGTCAGTGAAAAATATGAAGATGATTATTTGGATTTTGTAGAAGTGTACAGTACTACAGTCCCATCACCTATACCTGGGCCATTCTAGGAGCATTAATGAATGCACCATGGGATTTTGCGGGAGTGCTAATAGTAGCCATTAATAGGCCACCTAATTTTTAAAATGTGTTAGCCTACATGGTATTTTTTTTTTTGTAGTTACAACATGTGTATTTTGTATTTTGTACCATAATAAATTAATTGTTTTTCTATTCATTTTACATTTATTGAATGTTTTATTAAAAGGTAATTGTACGATATAAGTTGACTAATAATAAAATAAACAAGGTTTAATATGTAATAAATAGTATACTTTTATGTAAAAAAGTGTAAAACAATATTATTATATACCTGCTTTTTTCTCTTTGTTTTCAAGATCCCAGTCACTATGTTAGTACGATTTGTCGAGCACCCATTTAATTTAATTATAGACATTTTATAATAGGTATCTAACAACTTACGACTATTATCCAGAAATACTTACCAGAAAGATTTATTGTTTTTTATATTGTATAGGTAATTTATTATGTTTATTTTTAATGCATAATACTGTTATATTGATTAATAAGTATGTTTTGATTCAAAATTTAAATTCAAATTGTATGAATACTGAATTTAATATATATAAATGATAAACAGAAAGAAAAGCCATGAACAATATTATAATATGTTAATGATCTAAATCTACATTAAAAACTTTCATAAAATTGATAATTGTATATTATTTTGTATCAAATATATTTTGGAACGTTTTTAGACTGTACTTAAAACTCTTATATTAGCCTAAAAGAGGAAATTTAGTTTACCTACCTAATAACTAGAGGATGACTATACCATCATATTATATAGATAGAGTATAAGTAGGTTAGTTAAAAAGTATTCCAAACAGAAATGATTAAAAGTCATTAAATTACTTGAATTAGAATTAATTTAATATCTGCTAAAAGTTAAAATCAAGATAGACAAATAATTAATAATGCAGTTTAAAAGTAACTTCTTTACAAAAAATATTATTTAAACTTTGTTACCTATATAATATAATAATATGCCCATACAATTTATACATAAGATTAATACTCAAGACATATTTAGGTATTCAGTATAAATATAGTATAAATGTATAATGGACATATATAGATATAACATGACTATGTCCTACTACGTAACATGTTTAATGTCCCATCACTCTCCTCTCGCCGCACCGATATAGATGTACACTTTTTAACTTCCCTTCTAAATGGTACTTTCGACGCACCTAATTTACTCGCTGAAATTCCATTCAAAGTTCCTACCCGTGGAATACGAAACCTAGACCAGTTTTATATTCCCCATCACTCTACTGCCTATGGCTACAAATTACAATCATCCACTTCACAGAATGCTCAGAGTTACTAATCTAAATGTGCCCTAGTTGTTTTGACTGCGTTCTCAGGCTGCTTCTGTTATTCTGTTATTTGTACGCTCTAGTTTTATTATAGAGTTCTTATATTTTATCACTGTTAATTTTGTTTGTAATTCTGTTTTTTCTATTTAATTGTTATTACCTACATAATATGTACTATTGTTAACTGCCGATTGGCGTAAAATATATATAAATAAAATAAAATAAAATAAAATAATAACCTATACCTAAGGTTTTTTTATAAAACAATCAATTTTATTCCGATTATTTTTACCATATTGAATGTATTTTGAACATTTTAAGTTTGAACTATTGTTATGTATGCCTAAGTGGTGTACCTTACAGTTTATACAATATGATAAATATATAATTTGCCTACCTACCAGCTTAGTAGGCACTTATAACATTGTTTAACTGCATATCATAAATCTATTACATTTTTGAAAATTATATTGAAAAGGTTATATGATATATATTGCATTAAATTTTCACGCATTTTTACTCAACAAATAAAATTTTATTAATATTTAAAGAAAAAAAACTAAAAAAATTGAAAACTGACAATGTCCGTAAACAGCTCAAAAAGAGTCAAATTATTTTCAAAATTTTATCGTGTATAGAAAATGCTGATAAAAACATTCAGTGAAGTTTTCAAGTATCTACAGTCATACGTTTTTTAATTACAACAAAATGAGAAAATCGTTACATGAGAAATCGAGTGAATATCAATTGTTGTAAAAATATGAATTTCAAACGCTCATAAAAATTTAATTTAACTTTCTTGTAGACATTTTTTTTTTTGATAAAGGTAGACAAACTTATGAGGAATCTTATATTACATTTTAAAATTTTAGATTTAAAAAGAAAAATTTTTATGAATTCTAAACTCAAAATAATTGCTAATTGTCGTGATAATTCCGTATTTTGTCAAGATTTGAATTTTAAATGCTTATAAATAAAAACTGTGACTAAGGATTTTTAATTTTTTTCATCTGCCTTTGAAACAATATACTATAGTATAGGAGCC